GGAAGTGGGCAAAGACATCTGCTTCCTCCAAGGGCCCCAGCTGGGCGGGGGGGGGGGGGGGGGGGGGGGGAGCAGCAAGGCAAGGGAGAAGAAGGGGGCTCCTTTGTGGAGCCCACTCCCAGGGTTTCCTGGGGATCAATCATCTGAAAGCTGGAGAGGCTTGTAATTTTATTCCCTGGGAGGAGGAGCCTGAGAAGTCGGCCAGTGGGGTGGGGATGAAATGCGGGAGGGGGGAAGAGCGGCCAGGGGAGCTGTTCAGGGAGGGGAGGGACTTGGCTAGGTCTCCCAAGCCTTCTCCACTCTCCAAACTTTCACCAAACTCTTGGCCCCCGCCTTCCAGAAACCAAAACACAACAAGCTCTGGAGGAGCCGCGAGCGGCGCGGCGGGGCGGGCGGACTCGCGGCGGCACTGAGCCTCGGGAGGCTGATGCAACTTTCCCTTTAAGAAAGCCACCTGGGCGCACCGCGGTGCGGACCCAGCACGCCTGGGCCGGGGGCTGCAGCATGGTAAGGGGGCTTGGGGAATGGAGAGCTGCGGCCCGCGCCTCCGTCAGTCCTGCCGTCGGTCTGGGTTTGGTGGCTCCGCGGGGCTAAGCCCCAGGACCAGCGGGCGTGAGTGAGTGTGTGTGTGTGTGTGTGTGTGTGTGTGTGTATGATCGCGCTTGCATGCGGGCATCTGTGGGTAAGTGTGTGGGTGCACGCACGAGGATGTCTGTCTCGCCGCAAAGATCGGGGGTAGGTGCGCGCGTCTGGGTGTCACCGCTGTCACCAAGGAGCTAAAGCGGGAGAGAACGGAGGGGGGGCGCGCTCCCGAAGGGGGGGTCGCTGCGTGTCGAAGCCGGCTCGGTCGGGGGCGGCGGGCGCGGAGCTGTGCGGATAGCGCCGGAACCAGAGCGTGTCACGGTCCGTCTGGGGCGCCAGTGGGTCTGCGCGCCGGGGGCCTGCGCGGCCGGGAACCGGCGGGCCGGCTCTGCGCCCCGCGTGCGGGCTCCCACTCCATCTCTTCGCACCGCTGGCAGGCCTGGCTGCCTATCTGGCCCTTCCAGCCGGCCTGCCTCCCTATCTGCCCGCCCACCCACCGGCCCGGTTTGGGTTCCCGCGCGCCCGCGGGTCCCGGGAAGCCGCGCCAGGGGGTCCCGACGCCCTCGGGATCTTTGTCCGCGGCTCCCGGCCACGGCTTTGGGAAGGGACTACGGCCGTGGAGTTATTTTGGGGCTGCTACTCCAGGGAAAATCCGCGCCCTCGCTACCCCAACCTTCATTCCGGGTGCGTGTGGGGCGGGCCCGGGCGGCCACAGGTGAGGGCGGGGGCCTGGCAGTCGGGGGCGCCCACCCCCAGCCGGCGCCCCGCACCCCGCAGCCACCGCCGGGCGGTGGAAGGCGGCGGGGCCGGGGCGGGACGGGAGGGGGGCTAGCCAGGAGGGCCGGGAGGGGCCGGAGCCGGCCTGGGGGCGGGGCAAGGGGGCGGGGACCTCGGCGCCCCGGTACTTTTCCACCGCTGGGGCCGGGGGCGGAGCCGCCGCCTCCACACCAGCTGAGAGGCCCACACGTGGCGGCTGATGTAACACCGCCCCCCGACACCTCGCACCCCGATTAAAGCGGACGCACCCCGCTTCGAGGAATCGGGGTGCTACAGGCGGTGCCGCAGCTCCAAAAGCGACCGCGCCCCTGCCTGCCCGCCCGGGGCCTCCTCGCAGTCCGCCGGCTGCTTCTTAAAGGAGCCGCGCCCCCTTTCGGGCCTGCTCTCCGCAGACCACGCCCCCTCGCTGGTCACTCTTAAAGGAGCCGCGTCCCCGGCTCGCTGACAGCTCCCGCACAAAGCCTGGGTCTATTTCTTTGCTGAGGCAAGCTTGATGCTGCGGTTACTAGAAGATAAAGGCTGGGGTAAAGGCGGGGGCGAGGAATGGAAAATGAAGAAGGGCCTGAGAAGTCCAAAGTGAGGGAGCATCGGAAGGTTGGAGAATAGTGGGTGAGGGAACTGGTTCTAGGAAGGGACTAATGGGCGACACTGAGCATGCCCAAGTATTTCCAAGAACCGCAGAGAAAACGCCCCCTTACTCGGCCTACACTGCGACTGCGGCGGTGCCCGCTCTGTGCCCAGCCCTGGGGACACAGAAGAATCACACGTTTGCCCTGGAAGATCTCTCCAGTTCGTGGGGAGCCAGATCTGGACACAAGTAACCATGCCGCAACACTACATGTGACGAGCGTGTTAATCAGATGTACACAGTGTGCTTTGCGGGTTCGGTGAAAAGGTGACTGCAACTGGAGGAGGAAGGAAGGCTTCTTGAAGATAATGCCATTGGGACAGGTTTTGAAGCTGGGGAGGATATATACCAATGGTAATGGGGACAATGGAACCACCTGCACAAACATGGAGGCAAGAACCTCTGGGAATGCTGAATAGTCCCACATGGTCACAGGTGGCTGCAGGTAGCTGACCTGGGCACCAGGCAAAACTAGAAGCCCTCCCCTGCTCCCACAGCCCCTCCTCTCCCTCGTCACAGCAAATAGAGTTTATGCTGCCTCCTCTCTCTCCTAAACTGTGAGGTCCTTGAAGGCAGGGAAAGAGCTTGTCACCTTTCCATTCCCAGAGAGGACTCCAGGGCTTGGCTCAGATGGACCTTTACAATTGATTGACAGACAGCCCCGTTTGGGGAGAGGGAAGGACAGAGCAATGAGCCAGTTAAATAGCTGGGTCCTATGACTGCCCTCTCACCATCCACCCTTGAGTGGCTCCCAGGCAGCTCACACCCAGCTCTCCCTCTCCCCACTCTAAGCCTGCAGCACCTGGCACTCCTGTCTCTGGGCCTGGCTCTGGCTTCTTCCTGTTGCACCTGCAGAAACCAGAGATTCCCGCTTGTCCCTCACCTCCTGTGCAATTCATCACCAAGTCCTACCAGTCACCTTCTATATTTTTCTCAGATCTGTGCACCTCTCCGCACCCTATGGCCACCGACCTGGTCCACACCCCCTCATCCCTGGCCTGGCCTCCTCCTGACTGACTTCTCGTCCACTAACCCCTCCCTCCAGTCCTTTCTCCACACTGTGTCTAGGGTGAGTTTTCAAAATGTACATTCCACCAGTTGCTCCTGCCAGGTGCAACTCTGCCTTAAAGCCTTTGATCGAGACCATTGCCCTCAGGATAGAAACTAAAATCCAGGCCCCAAAGGCCCTGACCCTGCTTATCTGTCCACCTTCATCTTTGGCCACTTTCTCCTTGGCAATCTGAGCCCAGCCTCAGGGTCTTTGCACATATTTCATTTGCTTGAATCTCTGTTCCTGTTCTCTTCCTCACTATTGCGACTTTGCCTAAATAAGTCCCTCTGACCCTATAGCATTGCTTCCTCAGGAAAGCCCCCTGTGACTCTCAGACAAGGCCAGGTCCCCCTGCTCTCAACTCTCATAGAAGGATCTTTCTCCTTCAGTCTTGGATTGTCTGTGTTTGAGTCACGAGTTTCCCTCTTTCCCCCTAGCCTGCAAGATGCAGGGGGGCAGAGACCGATGAGTTCTTACTGCCCAACACAGGTCTGGCCCAGAGCAAGCCTGAAATAAATATTTGTGGTAAAGTGAATTTAATTGTGGCCAGCCTTAAATGCCTGCTAAACAATCTAGCCTATATCCTGTTGGCCGTGGAGAACGATGAGGGGGAATTGGGGCTTTAGGGCTTTGGGAAGATTAGTGGACTGGAGGGGAAGACTTGCAATAGAGTCCAAAAGTAAGCAGAAACTTCAGAACTTACAAAGGAAGTATTACTAGCCCCATCTTCCAGATTGAGAAAACTGAGGCTCGGAGAAGTTAAGTAACTTGCTCAAAGTCACATACGTAGTGAGTAGCAGAACCAGATTTCCAGCCCAGACCTACCAGGTTCCAGAGCCCAAGCTCTTCATCACATGCTAAACTGACTACTTGCCAGTGGTGGTCCATATGTGGTACTTTTTGAATGGATGGATGGGGCCATTTAACAGAATGGCAGAAATGGCAGAAGCAGGAGAAGCAGCAAAACTTTCTGCCCAACTCATTCATTCTCCTGGAGGCCACCACCACGCAGCCTCTGTAAACCAATATGTAAACACTCTGAGCACAAGGACTATATTTGCAGTCAGTGCTCAGGGATGACCTGAGTGAGAACACCCTGGAGCCTAAGTTCTGGGCAGAATGTCCTCAGTTTACTTACCTAACCAGGGGGCATAATAATTACCAGCCCAAGAGGTGGCTCTTAATAATGCCACCTGCTGTTATTACTATTTGTTGGCCGAAGAGGGACAGCTTTGGGACAGTCAGATCTAAAGTTTACAGCTTAAGGAGGGGTGCAGTGAGTGAAGAGGACAATGGAGCACAAACCCCCTCTTCTCCTGACTGCCCCCAGAAGACCAAAACCATGCGCAGGGGTCTCTTTAGGAGGACCCTTTGAGAGGCAGAGAGACCAGCCTGGGTGACTGACAGAAGGGAAATGGTTACAGGTCACATCCGCGCCTACCCCCACCTTGGGGAAAAGGCTGTGCGACATCAAGTGGCCAGGACCAAGCCCTAAGGAAGCCAAGTGCTGATTTTCACAGGCAAGGACCTTCCTCCTTGTCTCTTCTGGCCTTCTAAAACCTTCCTGGACCTGTAGGAGAGAGGCGGCCCTTGACAGGTGGCTGTGGGTGGGACGGAGTGCCACAGAACAGTCTTTGGAGTAGAGTCTACTCCCTGGGAGGGTAGAGAAGGCCCCAGAAGATGAATCCAGTCCCTCCTGGGACCAGGCCCTATGGAGGTTGAACATTCTTGTCCACCTAACCCAGGGTTTTCCTCCCATGAGAGAATTCCTCCCTGAAGGTTGAATCCTCTACAGCCATACCACCCTGAACACGCCCGATCTCGTCTGGAGGTTGAATCCTCTCCTGAGGCCCGTCAAAAACAACCCCCTATTACATCCGTGTCTGACATTAAACCTGTATACACCAGCATGGCCCTATGGCCACTCCTTCCGTTTGTCTGCCACCTCATCCGGCTTGTCACGCCCACATTGTGTCTCAGATGCTTCCTACAAGGTCTCAGGCTGGCCTGGACCATCGTTCCAATACCTCAGTCTTTTTTTTTTTTTTTTAAAGATTTTATTTATTTATTTGACAGAGAGACACAGCGAGAGAAGGAACACAAGCAGGGGGAGTGGGAGAGGGAGAAGCAGACTTCCCGCGGAGCAGGGAGCCCGATGCGGGGCTCGATCCCAGGACCCTGGGATCATGACCTGAGCCGGAGGCAGACGCTCAACGACTGAGCCACCCAGGCGCCCCCCAATACCTCAGTCTTACACATTGCCCTTCAATCCCATTCAAGCAAGACATCCTGCCCTGGGCTAGGGGCAGGCACCGAGGGTAAATGAAACACGGACCCAACCCGCAGGGAACGCACAGTCTCATGGATGACGGACAGAAGCAAATAAGTCTAGTATGAGTTGATAAGGACACCAGTAGAAACCTGCTAAAAAAAAAATGAAAGGATGGGGATTAACATAAGAATAAAAAAAAAAAAAGAAAATCGCAAACAAACAAAAAAGAAATGTTGATTGTAAAAGCGAAAAGTTAGAAATAGTCCCAATGGCTGAAGAATTACCAAATTAATTGTGATACATTTATGTTTATGTTTATCAAAATAAACAACTTTGACTAAAAAAAAAAAAAATTTCCCAATAGTCTTATCTTCATTAATCCTATGGGGCACTGTTCCACAGAGTTCCTTTTTGGAATATTGAAAATGTTCTAAAATTAGATCGTGGTGATGGTTGCACAACTCTGTAAATATACTAAAAACCATTGAATTTTGCACTTTAATTGTGCATTTAGTTGAATTATATGTCAATAAGCTGTTAATAAAAAAAACAGGGTAATAAATATTCAAAGCACAAAAAAAAAAAAATGAAAGGAGGAAGCAGTTTGTTCACTGTGGTTGGGGAGAGTGCCAGGAAAGGCTACAGAGAAGAGGTGACATTTCAGCATGGTCCTAAAGGATTTGCAGAATTTTACCGGGTTAGCAGGAGGAAAGATGTTGCAGGCAGGGGAAGGCCTGAGCCAGGGCAGGGAAGTGGTCCCGTGCATGGCGTGTTTGGTGCTCACAGAGCTTATGGTCCAGGGCAGTGACATAACAGCGTGCCCGGCTGTCCTGGAGCCCAAGCTGAGTGGCACCAGGATGAGGAAGGACAGTCGTGACTGCCCGGCTGGGGTGAGCTTGGGGAGCACGTGCTGATCCAAGCTGACTCCCCTTCAGGAGAAAGGTTGAAACCATCCACACAGACGATGAAGGAACTGGACCCTGTCCCAGTCCTGTGTTCATTTTTTAATCTTTTATAGAATTGGGCATCTAGAGAGTCAAAAATAGACCTTTGCCCCTTGGGACGGGATCCCTGGAGACCAAGGGATCCAGGGGAAGGGTTGGAAGAAGGGCCAGGAAGGAGCCGATCGAGGGTCATCCAAAAAGGACGAGATGGGAAAGGGCCTGGCAGAGGGTGGGCCAGCCTGGGAGGGGAGTGAGGGCCTGCCAGCTGGTGGTCCGGGCCCAGCACTACCTGTCCTGGAGAACCCTGACAGCCACACCTGGCCTGCCCTCACCTTCCCGGGCCAGGTTCCCACCCGGCTCTCTGCTCTCTCCACAGCTCTTGAGGTCTGTGGTCTGAAAGGTGCTGGAAGCAGAGCCTGTGAGTGTGGTCCAGGACTCCAGGGCCGCTCCCCAACCTGCTGCTGCCATGGTAGGAAAAGGTGCCAAAGGGATGCTGGTGAGTACAGGAACCAGACTGCAGGGTGGAGGGGGGTATCATGAGCACTGCCCCCTCTGAGGCCTGCCGGCTGCTTGCCATGCCAGGGCTCCTGACTAGTAGGGCTGTCCCAGGCCCCAAGCAGGCGGCCCCTTACCCGACAGGCTGGATGGTGTTGCGGCTCAGAGCCCATAACGGGGCCGATTCTGCCACAGAGCCTACGACGCCCCATCCTCATCACAAGAGGTGCTCTGGCCAGCAGGACAGGAGGACACCCAGGACAGTCACACGGTCGGCACCCTAGCACCCCACCCCCACCCCATGCTCTGCCCACTGCAGGGAGCATTCCGATGTGCTAATCAAGGGGTCTTCGGACCCTGTCTGGTTTTTCTCTCCTTCCCTGGTTCCTTCTCACTCTGAAAAGTAACAAAGAACGTTTCATTTTGAATCTTCTTCTGAGGCCTCGGAAAACTCCCCTCTCCCCCTGCCCCAAGGCATGGCCCTTCCTTTGCCTGCTACCCCAGAGCCCAGGAGAGGTGCTAGGGAGGCCCCGGGAGAGGCAGCTGGCAAGAGCCGGGCCTGGTCAGGGCTTGAAGGAGGAAGACTCACTGAGGGACAGAGCAGGTTGGCACTGGAAGCAGGAACCGGAGAAAGATGTCAGAACCGATCCCAAGAGCAGTGGTTGTATTTCTTCTCTTGGGGACCTTGCCTCGGGGACAAGCTAGATGGGGCGGCTGTCAGGGGAAAAAGCTGGTGACTGAGCACAGCCCTGCCCTTGGCCTCTCTCACCCACATCAGTTCCTTCCATTGCTTTTCTCATTCTGTGAAGGATCGATTGGCCTAGGGTCTCTGCGGAGCTCCCCCACCCCCTAAATAGGCCCTGTCTCTCACCAAAGATTTCTGGGGCTCAGAGTACTTGGTCCAGAGCAATGGTTTGGGAGAGGTAGATGGGCAGTTTCGCTCCAGGGTAAGGACCCTCTATCCTGCTCCGTTCTGAACGTCTAACATTCAGCCCCTCAGGCCTGCTCTGGCCTGGCTCCTACTGGTTGGAACCAGTCTGAATGAACCAAGTTTCTGAAAGTATTCCTGAGCCAACCTGAACTTGGGGTGCTCATAAACGGGCAGAGATGAAGTCTTGTGACCTGAACACTTGCTGGAGGTGATGCTGTGATCGGGCCAAAAACGGCCTCCCTTTCCCAGAGAAGTCTGGGAATTGCCACAGGCCTACGGTCCGTAGGAAGGGGGGTGTGGCCTGCCCCGTGCTACATGGAGATTTCGAGCCCCATGAAACCCAAGAAACCCTCTGGGTATTCCCTGGCTGCTCTTCTTTCTCGGGAGTGAGCCTGAAAGGACTGGTGCAGGCAAGCGGTTGAGATGTGGGAGGCTTCTGTGCCACAGAGCGAGCATCAGTCACAACGTCCCATAATCCCTGCCCGGAGCTGAGCTTCCCGGACTCTGGGCTCTGCCCGGCCAGCCTGTCTGTGGAAGGGATTGCTGCCTTGGGACGCCCGTTCCCAGCCCCAGGATGTGCCTAAAGATAGCCGGGGCTCGGATGCCCTCTGCCCTTTGGCTTCTGCCGGCCACTGCTGGTTTGAGGCCCATAACATCTGTCCCCTGGGCTCTACCGCCCTCCCCCCCCCACCACCACAGCGGTTGCTAGAGATTCTATTCCTGCCTCTTTCTCAGTTCTGCTGATGACCTTGGGCTACTCTCTTCTCGGGCCCCAGTTTGGAAACTGCAGCCATCTCCGTTCAGGGCTTGTCTCCAGGACACAGGCTCCGAGGAGCGCCATCCCTCCTGGCTGGCAGGCGTAGGCAGCTGAGCCAACACTTTATTAGACTCTTGTGCTCCCCTAACGGCAAAGAGCAGAGGACACTCCTTCCAGACACGCCCTCCTCTCTATGCCGTGGTAGGGGTAGAAGAGAGGCTACCGAGGGCCACGCATGTAAGCTGCTTGGACAGTCCCAGGCCTGTGGCTTCTTCTGCCATTTGTGCCCCCGTATGTGGGGAGGGGGTAGCTAGCCCCTGCCGTGGGTTCCTTACTTCCATCCCCTTTGCCTCCGGTTTGGGTGTGAAGACATGGGTCCCCCCACTCTCCTCAGCGTCGGCAGACACCCTGTGTCATCCTTGGAGCTCCTGCCCTTTCTTCATGGGGCAGGTGCCCCGCCGAGAAGCAAGCCCCTCTTCAGCACGTGCCCAGGCCCACATGCCTGGTGCACGTGTCCCTCCCCCCACCCCCAGCCCAGATGGTCTCTGCCGGGCCAGCTCAGCTGCCTCCCTCACGCCTCAGCAGCTCCTAGGACAGGGCCACGCAAGAACCCAGCTGGCCAGGGTGCCTCCAAGCCTGGGAGCAGCTGGGATGCTTGGGGGCACCGGGGGGTGGGTGGGGTGATACTTCCATGGAGACCTAGTGCCTCTGCATACGCGTGGGGTGGGGCTGCCTGGGCTCAGAGGACAGGGAGCTGGGGGAGAGAGCCCAGGACAGGAGAGCCCCACCGGGTCAGCTCTAACCACACGGCCTCACACCAAGGTCACAAGCTGGCTGATTCAGGCCCCTCTCCATGCCTGCTACCCACTGGCACAGAGTCTTGGGCAACAGAGGCCTTGGTGAGCCTCGTTGGCCTCTCCCCGTGTCTTTGAGCACACTGGCTGCTCCTGCCATTGGGAAACCTTGTGATGCATAAGAGCAGAGTCACCTGGGCTAGGGCCGTGAGTGCCAGAGGTCTAAATCATCCCAGAAGGCTTTGCAAGCACCACAGGCCACCGGGGGCTGCTGCACCCTGACCTGTTCTGTTATGCTTTTTTTAAAGATTTTATTTATTTATTTGAGAGAGAGAATGAGAGAGAGCACATGAGAGGGGGGAGGATCAGAGGGAGAAGCAGACCCCCTGCTAAGCAAGGAGCCCGATATGGGACTCGATCCCGGGACTCCAGGATCATAACCTGAGCCGAAGGCAGTCGCTTAACCAACTGAGCCACCCAGGCGCCCCTGTTCTGCTTTGATAGGATTTGTACACCTCTTATCTGCACCATCCATTGCAGGGCCTGGCACACAGTGGGTGCTCACCCAGCCCACATCCTGGCATGTGGCAAGTGCTCAGCTAATACGGGTTTGGCACTCGCTGGGAGTTTACCAAGTACAGGGTTTGGCCCACGTTGGGCACTTCCTAGGTGAAGAGCCTGTCGACGACGGGGCCCTCACCTGGCACAAGCCCCGGCATATGGGAGATGCTCACCTAGGACATACTTGCCACACAGTGGGCACTCGTCTGTCATAGTGCCAGGCGCACAGTGGGCGCTCCCCCAGCTCCCGGCTGGGCATCCATTGGGTGCTCGCCTGGCACAGAATTTGGCCTACATGGGCTTCTCCTCTAGTGCAGGACCTCGCCCACCGCAGGGGCTCACTGGCATTGGGTGGATATAAAGTGGGTGCTCTCTTCACACAGGCCTGGCACACTGTGGATTCTTCTAGCATCTGACTCTGTGAGTCGTGGGGCCTCTGCTAACACAGGTCCTGGTGGTACAGTGCGTGCTTTCTAGGCACAGGGGCTGGCACACAATAGGGACTCTCCCAGCTCAGGGGCTGGCACAGAGTGGGCCCTCTCCTTATATAAGGCCTAGCACGGAGGGGGACTCTCTTAGCCAGGACAGCCTGAGCTATGACCTAGATGATCAACCAAGTGACCGGAGATGTGTAACTACACCCTCCCAGGGAAACGGACAATATCTAGAC